CTCGGGAACAGCACCCAAGCCTTGATTCAAGCCCAGGAACATGCAGTGGGGGAAGAAAAGGTACAAAGTGGAGCCCAGGAGAGCTGAAGGGGTTAAAGATGCATAGCAAAATTCAGTACACAAAACTTAATTGGATTCAAGTTTATGAAAAGAGAAGCAATAATTGATACTCTTGAGACACCTGGAGAAAATTGCATATGAGCAATATAGTACATGATACTGTGGAGTTACTAATTTTCTTGGGGTGAAAAGAGTATTGTTGATAGCACTGTAGAAATATGTCCTATTCTGGGACTGGGAAGGTGGCTCAGTGGTAGAGCGCTTGCCTTGCATGCATGAGGCCCTGGGTTCGATTCCTCAGCACCACATAAGCAGAAAAACAAATATAAAAAAAAAGAAATATGTCCTATTCTTACTTAACACTTGCTGAGCTATTTAGAAATACAATATCTACAACAGATGTTATTTGTGTATTTGTGCCAGGACCAGAGTTTAAACTTGGGCCCTTGAGCTCAGGGCTTTGTACTCAGTCTTTTTGCTCACTGCTGGCCCTCTATCACTTGAGTCACACCTCTAGTCCTGTTGGTTAAATGAGATACAATCTCTTGAGTTTTTCTGGTCGTGCTGGCTTTGAATCATGGCCCTTAGATCTCAGCCTCCTAAGTATCTAAGATTACAGTTATGAGTCACTAGAATCCAGCTAGAGGCCCAATATTCACAAATTACTTTTAAATGACTCTACCACAAAACATACTAAAAAACACAATACAACAAATGGCAAAGGGGTGTGGGATGTTAGTTGATACTGATGTTTATATTGCTATGAAAGTAGCTTCTAGATTTATTGAATTTCAAGTACTACCTGTGTGGCCTTGGTAGGGCCAAATGATTTTCAGGCCTTTTATGACTCATAGGCCAGATGTTCCCTGCCCTCAAAGACATACAAGGTGCTTTTCTTTTGCTTTCATGGGTCCAAAAGGGGATCAGTGCTTTTCAGTTGCTCAAGGCTAGTGCTTTGCCACATTAACCACAGTTTCACTTCCGGCTTTTTGCTGGTTAATTCGAGATCAGAGTCTCACAGACTTTCTTGCTCTAACTGACTTTGAACTATGATCCTCAAATCTCAGGATTACAGGCATAAACCACCAGTACCTGCACTTTTTTTTTTTTTTTTTTTGGTCAGTCGTGGGGCTTGAACTGTGGGCTTGGCACTGTCCCTGAGCTCTTCAGCTCAAGGCTAACACTCTACCTCTTGAGCCACAGTGCCACTTCCAGTTTTCTAGTGCTTTATTGGAGATAAAAGTCTCTCGGACTTTTCTGCCCGGGCTGGCTTTGAACTGTGATCCTCAGATCTCAACCTCCTGAGTAGCTAGGATTACAGGCATGAGCCACCAGCACCTGGCTAGTACCTGCACTTTTTGAGATGCCATAAATTCAGGGTTTTTCTATAAGTGCTTCCTACTTCCACAGTAGCCTAACTTTAATTTTATAAACTCTGAGATCACTGTGGAATGGCAACTTTTATTCCAAATAATTATTACAGGCTCCTGTTGTTCACTACTGCTAGATGGCTCATTAAACTTGGATCTGTCTAAAGATGTAGAGTGGAACACATTAATATTGCTAGATTAAAAAAAATCTACCATATGATGTTCAAGAACATTTCTCATTGACAGTCTTATTTTTCAAGTTAAGTTCATATTTGGTATTTGAAAGCTATTTTTATCTGTATTAGAATAACCTGGTAGAAGTTGCTAGATTTCTTACTTTATTATGGTGTTAAATTCTAATTAATGCCATCTTGTACTTTTTAATGCTAAGTAAAGCACAGCGTTTTAAAACAACTCTTCATCACACATATGCACACAGAAAATCAAAATGATTTAGAAAAAGAGGGCTTCAGGAGATCTAATTTCACCATAGACTTCTGTCTGCTATGAGTTTGGAAAATGTCATTGGGAAAGTCCTTAAATTTCTTTAGATTTAATCTTTACGATAGGGAGCTTGACTTTGGAAGCCTCATATTTGAAAACCATGCACTTGGACATTATATATTTAATACCATCGTATTTTGACCCCTGGGCCTTTGATTCTATAGCATCGCCAGGACACTAAGGTAGAACTCAGATTTGCTATTATTCTTCTTCTCACTTTAAAATCATTCTAATTGGGGCTGGGAAGGTGGCTCAGTGGTAGAGCGCTTGCCTGGCATGCCTGAGGCCCTGGGTTTGATTCTTCAGCACCACATAAGAAAAAAGCCAGAAGTGGCGCTGTGGCTCAAGTGGTAGAGCGCTAGCCTTGATCTGAAGAGCTGAGGGACAGCGCCCAGGCCCAGAGTTCAGGCCCCACAACCGGACCCCCAAAAAATAAAAAAAAATAAAAAATAAAATCATTCTAATTGGTTTTGCCACTAAATCCGCTCAATCAAAACAGAAGTTGACAAAGTAAAACAAAACCAAACAAATTAGGCATCCTCTATTTTCATCTCTGCCTATTCCCATTCTCAAGAAACAAAGCTAAGTAAATATTAAGTATAATTCACGCCAGAAGAGCAAGAATACAACCAAGCCAGAGCCCACAATGGTTGTAATGCTCAGCACAGTCACCTGGATTACTGGAACATCTGCACTGTCCCCTTTCCCAGGTGGCTCCACTTGCACTCTGGCAGAACCTTCTAGACTTTCAACACCAATGCACACTGATATACCCACATACAGACACACATACCTAGCTTTTCTTTCTTTCTTCCCTCCTTTCTTTTTTCCTCTTTTCCTTCCCTCCTTCCCTTCTTCCCTCTTTCTCTCCTTCCTCCCTCCCTCCCTCCCTCTCTCACTTCCTTCCTTCCTTCCTTCCTTCCTGTCTCTGTCTTTCTCTTTTTTAAAAGAGCAAAACATGCCAGCCACTGGTGTCTTACCTCTATAATCCTAGCTACTCAGGAGACTGAGATCTGAGGATCCCAGTCTGAAAAAGCCAGCCCAGGCAGAAAAATCTCTGAGACTCTTATCTGCCATTAACCAGCAAAAAGCCAGATGTAGCTAAAGTGGTAGAGTACCAGTCTTCAGAAAAGAGCTAAGGGACAGTGCCAAGGCCCTGAGTTCAAGTCCCAGTTCCAGCACCAAAAAACAAAACAATACTTTTATAATTGTGAAAAAATTAACACAATACTTAAGAGTTATGAGGATTAGGGGTGTAACTCAAGTGGTAGAGTGCTTACCTGGAGTTCAAATCTCAATACTGAAAAAAAGAAAAAAGATGAATTGTTTATAAGAACTCTCTTCCTGGGGCTGGGAAGGTGGCTCAGTGGTAGAGCGCTTGCCTTGCATACCTGAAGCCCTGGGTTTGATTCCTCAGCACCACATAAGCAAAAAGAAAAAAGCCAGAAGTGGCACTGTGGCTCAAGTGGTAGACCACTAGCCTTGAGCTGAAGAGCTGAGGGACAGCGCCCAGGCCCAGAGTTCAGACCCCAAGACTGGACCCCCCCCAAAAAAAGAACTCTCTTCCTTCTGATAGGTAGACAACTATGCAACGAAGCAACAACTGAACTAAATAGGACATGTGATCGTCATGTGGTTATAAATTACCAAAATTTAAAAGGCTCCTTGAAAAAAGTGTGGAAAATATACAGTTGAAAGAAATGCCAGGGGGGCTGGGAAGGTGGCTCAGTGGTATAGTGCTTGCCTTGCATGCCTGAGGCCCTGGGTTCGATTCCTCAGCACCACATAAGCAAAAAGAAAAAAGCCGGAAGTGGCGCTGTGGCTCAAGTGGTAGAGTGCTAGCCTTGAGCTGAAGAGCTGAGGGACAGCGCCCAGGCCCAGAGTTCAGGCCCCACAACCGGACCCAAAAAAAAAGAAAGAAATGCCAGGTTCCCCCCCTCCCCGCCCCAAGTAAACTATGAAGACTGTATTTAATTGTTCCTGTGTAGTGAAATGAGTTGCCATCTTATTACAGGGCAGCCATTTTCTTCCCATTTTTAGAGCCAGCTGCACCAAATGCATTCGTGTCCTTGTGAATGGATGAGGCGGAACAGAATCTTTTCTCCTCTCTATGGGCTGGAGTCATTGTCCCTGACTGCCCTGGGCACAGCAAGAGCTTGACTCAGGGGAAGCAGGTGAAGTTAATTCCTGGTACATGTACCATGTTAACAAACCACAGTGGACCTTCTCTTCTCATGCCTGCTCAGGGGCTCCGTGTGGCCCATCAACTTTCCAGAAGCCCCGGATTTGTATGGGAAAAGGCACAGTGTTAGGAAAGGTGAGACCTGGGGGCTGCTGAGCAGGCACGTCAACCCTTCACCTCTCGGATCAATTTCTCCACAGGCTTGAATCTCATCGCTACAATCCTTCTTCTTATGTCCTATTACCCACATGGTGGGAACAAACCTCCTTCATGTTTGTAAAAAGAGTGGCATTTTTTCGAAAGCACACTTAAAAGGAGTAGCTATTGCTATTATGTCTCTTAAACAAAACTCCTTTCACCATCCCTACTCCCAAATTTCCTTCTTTGTCTTCCCCAGTTCCGCTAAGGTAGTCTAATCAATCCATTCCCATTAAGAGGTTTCAACCATAGCAAACACTCATTTCCTCAGCTTCTTCCCTCCCTTCTAGTATATGTCAGATATAAAAATCACCTGTAGGAAGTGGAGGTGTGGTTCAAGAGATAGAGTATCAACCCTAAGTAGAAAGAAAATATCACCTGTAAGGATACCCCCAGAGTCAACTTAATAGCTGTTGGGCAGGACCTAGGTATCTGCAGTATCAATGAGTCTTAGGTGATCTTTTTGGTCATAAAGGCTGAGGAATCATTTCTCTAACCTACAATGATACTTCAGATGGCTGTAATAGAGTAAGATTACTCCTGGAATTATACCACCAACGCAACACCTAAACCAATCATTGCAAAATGTCACTCCATTCCTTGTGAAGAGTTTGAGAAGTGTATTCGCTTGTTATAGAACATGCATGAGCTGTGGACATGTAGATGTCTCAAAAAAGCAACGCGGGATGTTGAAAGGCTACACTAATCAGGTCTCAGGTAATCAAGAGTTCTCAACTTGGTCGTAACCAATTGTGAAAGCTTGTGCAAGTCGCTTCGCTTTGATTCCCACATCTGTAGATTCTTGAGCACTACAGCTTAGGCAAAGGTGTTTAGATCTCTATACCCTTTGGCCCAGGAAGTTGTACTAAGGGTTAACCAGGCTGCGGTCTAAAACCATTCATCCTATTGTTTATAATGATGAAGAATTGGAGACTATCTTAATATTCTTCAATAAAGGAAGAGTTAAGTAAATGGCTTAGTTGTTTAAGTCAGTATTAGCTGATTTATCTAAACATTGAATACTATTCAACTTTAAAAATGGTTAACGGAGATCTTTACATGTAATATGGAAATGTCATGATGTTGCAATAAGAAATTACAAGATAGTATTTAAAATTTACTCGTAGGTTTTCGTTTTGCTTTAAACTCTGTGTGTGTGTGTGTGTGTGTTGTTTCTAGAAAGTACAGTCACATACCTAAATGTTATCAATAGCAAGATTATGAGTGATCTTTACCTTTTTTTTTGGATCCTTCTTTTAATCTTCTGAATTTTTGTAGTAAGATTAAACTTTGATTGTGGAGATAATGCTTCAGTCATTAAAAAATTTTTTTTTCTGTACCAGTCCTGGAGTTTTAACTCAGGGCCTGGGTACTGTCCCTAAGCATTTATTGTTTGAGATTAGAGCTCTACCACTTGAGCCACAGCTTCACTTTTGGCTTTTTTGGTGGTTAATTGGAAATAGGAGTCTCATGGACTTTCCTGCCTAGCTGGCTTCAAACATCAATCCTTAGATCTCAGCCTCCTGAGTAGTTAGAATGACAAACATGAGCCACTGGTGCCCAACTTCATTTTATTTTTTTAAGTATTTCATGTACTTTGCCATGATGATGTCTAGCTTCCACCACAACCTGACTAGAAGTAAATAGAGGAAAAGTTTAACGATATGAATTAGAAATACCCCTTCCTCGATTATACCCTACTTCACTCTACATTGAAGTTAATTTGTTCGAAATATCTATTTTTTTTTGTCAGTCCTGGGGCCTGAACTCTGGGTCTGGGTGCTGTCCCTCAACTCTTCAGCTCCAGGCTAGTGCTCTACCACTTGAGCCACAGCGCCACTTCTGGCTTTTTCTTTTTCCTTTTTTTTTTTTTTTCACTTTCAGCCTTTTCTATTTGTGTGGTGCTGAAGAATCAAACCCAGAGCCCCATGCATGCGGGGCAAGCATTCTACTGCTGAGCTATCTTCCCAGCCCCTTGATCTAATTTTTTTTTCTCTCCAAAATTAAAGGGGAAATACTAAGTCTCTCGTCTGGAGCCCATTTCGGAGAGCTCTGGTCTTGTGCCTGATCTCACTCACTTCCCTAATCCCTCTGGCTCGGCCAGCTAGGGGACACGCAGCTCCAGGTGCCTTCCATGATAAAGAGGAGGGGTCAGGTCCTCTGTTGCTATAATACACAGCAGCCCACCTCTTTCCTGGTGGATTTGGTGATGCTTTTTTTTATTTTTTATCATGTTGTGCAGGAGAGAGGAGATTCTGGGAGTCCCCAAAGTTGCTTCAATGCAGGCTGGAGGTGAGGAATCATGAGAATAGAAGGAAGGAATATAATGGTTATTGGTTTTTGCCTATTCATTTTTTCTGAACTCATTCTCTATGTCCTCTTTTAGTACCTATAGGCCACTGTTTTACTTATTCACCCTGTGACTTCAGTGAACTCAATAACTCCTCACTTGGCCAATACCACCTTTCCAGGTAGTATTTTTTTTTTTTTTTTGGTGGCGGGGGAGGGTTAGGGAAGTCCCCGTATCAAGGACAACAGGTTTCAAGTAGCTTGCCTGCTCTACGCAGCCAATTCACTCCATTCTTTTTGTTGTCAGTCATGGGGCTTGAACTCAGGGCCTAGATGCTGTGAAAAGCTCAAGTACCTGGCCACTTTGACCCACAGCTCCACTTCCAGTTTTCTGGGGTTAATTAGAGTTAAGAGTCTCATGGACTTTCTTGCTCCAGCTGTCTTTGAACTGTGATCCTTAGATTTCAGCCTCCTGAGGATTACAGGTTTGAGCCATCAGCTCCTGGATCCCCACCCCATTTCTTACCCCTTGGTTAGGATTTTTCCATTGCCCAGTTATGGACTTCCTATGTCAGCTAAATGAAAGGGCTTGAAGGTCTTCTTGCCTTGCTTTGAAATTCCTCACTGCCTCAAGTTGATGGCATCTCCAAAAGAACAATCATACTAAGCCCCCATCTCTAGAAGCAGTAGTTTTCACTGAAAACAAATGCTTAAAGGAATGCATCAGCTGGGGCTGGGAAGGTGGCTCAGTGGTAGAGCGCTTGCCTCAGGCCCTGGGTTCGATTCCTCAGCACCACATAAGCAAAGAGAAAAAAGCTGGAAGTGGTGCTGTGGCTCAAGTGGTAGAGTGCTAGCCTTGAGCTGAAGAACTGAGGGACAGCGCCCAGGCCCAGAGTTCAAGCCCCACGACCGGACCCCCCCCCCCAAAAAAAGGAATGCATCAGCCTAATAAGCAAAATCATATATCTTTTGCCTCAAAGAATAAATTTCTCTTGAGACTTTACTCTGAGCTAGAAGTTCTAGAAAGGCAGATAGTGGCAGAATTTGGTCATAATAAAATGTGCCCTAACTGGGTGCCGGTAGTTTATACTTGTAATCCTAGCTACTCAGGAAGCTGAGATCTGAGAATCACAGTTCAAAGCCAGCCAGGGCAGGAAGGCTCATAAGACTCTTAATCTCTAATTAACCAGCAAAAAGCCAGAAGTGATGCCGTGGCAAAAAAGCTCAGGGACAAGGCCAGACTAGAAATTCAAGTCCTAGGACCAGCATACACACACACACACGCACACACACACGCACACACACACACGCACACACACACTGTGACCTAGGATTTAGGATTAAATTCATTTTTTCAATTTAGAAAACCCTGCAGAGAAAGCTTTGGTCCCTCAGTTCTTCAGACCTATCATTCTCACTTCCATCAGCCCTATTTCAAGGCTCTGATCTGGGTGCGATAGGCTTGCTTGTTAACCTAAAACATAGCTCCAGAAAGCTCAGGCTGGTTCATGGATACTGTCTCGATACAGTTAACTGATACCGTAATTCCCAGTATATTGTATACTACCGTATTTCTCAGCATGTTGCATTGTACTAGTTGTCTTACCAATTTAGCACCTGAGGTATCATAACCACTCCCAAGCAGCAGCATTCCATATGATTGCTGGTGAGGAAGAGTAGGAATCGTGTACCTACAGGATCCCAAATACTTTTTTTTTTTAATTTCAGCCTATATCAATTGCAGTGAAGATGGAATGACAGTGGATTCCCAAGCAGTGTTAGCGTGGACAAATGGCATGTATCCATGGTAGGTAGGTAACATGTTCTAGCTTATCTTGGCCCTAATTAGTAGAAAGCTTGTAGGTTCAGGGCATCCCTATTTTTCTGTGTACAAGGAGATGTCAAAATTTGGAGCAATAAGCATTTACTTTCTCTGTTGCTTTGGGGGTCCCCCAACTTGCATGATGCCACCAAGAGTGTCTTTTCTAGGAAGTGTCTTAGTCAGCCTCCCCTGGGAAGCTCGGACTATAAGTCTCAGAGCCTGGGCCTTATGATCAGTGTCTTATGGTCCCAAAGTGAACTACTTGATGTGTCTTAGGAATGGACGACAAGCCAGGTGCTGGTGGCTCAAACCTGTAATCCTAGCTACTCAGGAGGCTGAGACCTGAGAATCGAGGTTCAAAGTCACCTGGGCAAGAAACTCCGAGACTTTTTTGTTGTTGTTGGTCATGGGGCTTGAACTCTGGGCCTGGGTGCTGCCCCTCAGCTCTTCAGCTCAAGGTGAGTGCTCTACCACTTGAGCCACAGCACCACTTCCGGTTTTCTAGTGGTTTATTGGAGATAAGAGTCTCATAGCCTTTCTTGCCGGGGCTGGCTTTGGATGTGATCCTCAGATCTCAGCCTCCTGAGTAGCTAGGATAACAGGTGTGAGTCACCGGCACCCGGCCCATAAGACTCTTATCTCCAATAAACTACCAGAAAACTGGAGGTGATGCTGTGACTCAAAGTGATAGAGTGCTAGCTTTGAGTGAAAAAGCTCAGGGACAGCTCCCAGGCCCTGTGTTCAAGCCATGTGATCGACCAAAAAAAAAAAAAGTCTTGATACCTTTAGCAGACTCTATTACTCTATTATAGTATGTACTTGTCAACCATCCTCTGTCTAACAGGCTGTTTCCTGTAGATGCTTTTGGGGTTGAAATGCTGAACTGTACTTATGTCTTGCCCTCAGAAAAACCCAGCCTGAAGATTCCCTATGAATCCTGTACAGACAGACTGGTATGTAATCGTGTGTGTGTGTGTGTGTGTGTGTGTGTGTGTGTGTGTGCTGGTACTAGGGCTTGAACACAGGGCCTGGGCACTGTCCCTGCATGTTTGGCAAGAGCTTCCACTTGACTTGCACAACTCTACTTCTGGCTGGTAATTTTTATTAGAGAGAAGAGTCTCATGGGCTTTCCTGCTTGTACTAGCTTCTAACCATGATCCTCAGATCTCAGTCTTTTGAGTTGCTAAGATTACAGGTATGAGTCACTGGTGCCCGGCAGAAATTGCTTTGGAGTACTGACTGGGGAAGTGCTAGTAGATCTTGGAAATCAATTTTGTGGCAAGGATTTAATCTTAAGGGCAGAGCAGTGTTTCTCAGCCAGAGCGGTATTTTGTTTTTCCTCTAAGAGGACACAACTGGAGACATTTGTGGTTATCAAAACTGGGAGTGGTTCAGAGTTTGCTTCTGACATCTAGTGGGTGCAAGCCAATGGTGTTGGCAAATAACATTTAGTGACTCGGGATCCCACATAACAGGCAGTCAGGCCTGCACTGCGAGTGTTGACAGGTGCCTCTCAGACTGGGTTGTGCAGCCCTTGAGCCCTGGAAAATACTTTAAAGGTAAGGTCTCAAGCAAGTTGCCTAACCTTTCTAAGCTTCCATTTGTCTTTTGGAAAATAACCCAAAGCAAAAGCTCTCGTCTGAGCTATTTGTATGTGAAACCCTCCCTCACCCAATGTGAGATGGAAGGCTGGCTATTCTGGTGTTAACAACTGAAAAACCTCTAGCCTAAAATTAGGTGTTAGAAAGCAAATAGTAACTAAGCAATAAGGGTTTCTGTTGCCAAGCAACAGTATTACCCAAGCAGGATAGTTAAGAGTAAGGCAAACAACCTGTAACCATTTTCAAACTTTAGTGTTCAAAGAATCACTTGGAGGCTGGGGATTGGTAGCTCATGCCTATAGTCTTAGCTATGTGGCAGGGGAAGATCTGAGGATCAAGGTTTAAAACCACCAGAGGCAGAAAAACCTGAGAGATTCTTATCTCTAATCAACTGGCAAAAAGTTGGAACTGGATGTGACTCAAGAGTAGAGTGCTGGCTTTGAGGGAAAAAAAAAAACCAGCCCTTTGAGGAAAAAAAACCCACCAAATATAATAAATAAATAAATAAAGGATATTCACCTTTAAAAATAGGCCTCCTCTACTTCAAAGGATTTAGAATTGAATTCTTTTTTATTTTTGTTTCTTTATTTTTTTGTTGGTCATGGAGCCTGAACTCTGGGCCTGGGTGCTGTCCCTCAGCTCTTCAGTTTAAGGCTAGTACTTTACCACTTGAGCCATAGCACCACTTTCAGCTTTTTCTGCTTATGTGGTGCTGAGGAAGCAAACCCAGGGCCTCATGCATGCAAGGCAAGCACTCTACCACTGAGCCACCTTCCCAGCCCTAGAATTGAATTCTTTAGACTAGGGGTCTGCTAATTACAAACCCATGGATAGCCAAAATTGTGTGTGGCCTTTTCCCTAAATGCCCTTAGAATAATAATTTTTTTAAGTATATATATTTTTAATGCTATAGATATATGGGTCCAGGGCTAAATAAGTTAACTTTCTAACAACCACAAAAAGGATGAAGAATCTTGCTTCAGACTGAGTCCGCTGAGGTTAGAAGTAGCATCCAAGATGGCTGTGCCCAGAATCATGGCCGCTTCTTAACAGGTATATCTGAATAATCTGAGTAAAGGCCCCATAATCAGCTCCATCCAGTTTTACATCTAAACTAGTGTCTTACAGGCACTGGTGGTTCATGCCTGTCATCCCAGCTAATCAGGAGGCTGATAGTTTGAGGATCATGGTTTAAAACCACACTGAGCAAGAAAGTCTATGAGACTTGTATCTTCAAGTAACCAATAACAAAAACCCAGAAGTGGAGTTATGGCTCAAGTGGTAGAGTGCCAGTAGTTAGAGTGTTCCCTCTATCCTGGCAGGTAGTTGAGATGATTTCAGAAACTCTTTCAAATAAAAAAATTTACATGATGGTTCTTTTTTCTTTCCGTTTTCTTTCCCACTCGCTTGGCTGGTGCAGGTCAGGTATGAAAGTAGCTTTTAAATTACAAAACTTAGTAACATTTAAATCTGAGACTGACCATTTTAATCTGAGTAAAAAGAACATTCAATAGGGGCTGGTGGCATTGCTCAAATGGGTGAGCGCCTTCTTGTTGCTATTAAAAGACCCTGAGTTCACACATCAGCATGCCACCCCTTCCTCAAGAAGACAAACAAATATTAAGTAGACTATGATAGTTTCATGGTTAAGAGAGCACAAATCTTCTAAAAAAATTTTTTTTCTTTAACTTCATTGGTCCGAGATGGATTGTTAAAGTTAGTGATGGACCACAAGCTCAAATTCTATTCTTGAGGGATGCCCTAAGACAAGGGTTCAATCTTCTGCTTGATGGCCAAAAGATAACCCTCTATATGCCATACAATGCACTGGAATACCTCATATGTGGTAGGTCATACCTTTTTAAAAAAAATATAACCACAAAGGATAAGGCTATTATTCCTAACTCTAAGTATGATCTCAGCCATGTCTTCAACCCATTGAAGTATTTTTAATGTCATATCCTTCACTGGATACTGTACTCTTCACTGTACTGTACTAAGGATAAAATGGAGAACAAAACAGACAATGGTCTTTGCCCCCATCTGTTCTTTTCCTGTTCGATAAACTTATATATGCAGTATAATGTTGAATAAAGGTATTCTTTAAAGTCTCATGAATCAATATACTATGTTTGGATTGCATTGTCTTGTCTTTTTGTTTGTTTGTTTTTGTCGGTTGTGGGGCTTGAACTCTGGGCCTGGGCACTTTCCCTGAGCTCTTCAGCTCAAGGCTAGCACTCTACTACTTGAGCCACAGCACCACTTCCTGTCTTGTCTTTTTGATTTCCAGTGAGACACTATAAAGTACAGACCTGGGCTACATAACAAAGCTTAGGTCATGGCAGACCATATGAGTAATCCCATTAGATAATTGTCTAGTATTTTGTTACCATAGTAACCCCATAGTGCTTGTAACGATCCTGGTCAAAACAAAACTACAATGCCAACACATAGAGCTCATATAGTCATGTACGTGTATATAATAATAATCATGTACAATAGGTATATAGTAAGTGATACTATGATTTATGTAAGCACAGTAACTACACAATAGTAAATCTGTCTAATGATACATTTCTTAGACCACAGCTTTGTTAAGTGATGTGTGAATGAACTCTTGGCAAACCTCAACACAAAAGTACTCAAATTTTAGCCACTTAAATAAGAGCAACTCTGTCTTTCATCGAGTAGAATCAAGAATGTGGAGTCCTATAAACATTCTGACCACTGATACTGTGTAATAGTCATGGCAGACCAGCTCTTGCTCATCTCCTTCTAGAAATGATCAGTGACGAGCCTTAAACTCCTAGACAAGACTGGAGGACAAGACTGGGAATCTAGCATGATAATGATTGGCCCAAATGCCTGCATTTCCATTGCATCAAAATGATTCCCAGTGATTGAGCATATGCTTGGCCTGTTGGTTCTTATTGGTTAGAGAGTCAAGTAAACTGATAGCTTCAAAAATACTGTTCCTACAAGCAAGGCAACAGTCACTTCTACCCGGTAGAAGTGTGACTCCTGCTCAGAAGATCATCTTCTTATCAAAAGCTGTGTGTGTGTGTGCGTGTGTGTGTGTGTGTGAGAGAGAGAGAGAGAGAGAGAGAGAAAGAGAGAGAGAGACAGATCCCAGGAAACTCTAACTTCAGCAGTGGGAAACAATATTTTGGGGGCTTAAACAAGGCTGGTAATGGGCGTTCTATCATTCCTTCCTTCCAGAGCCTTCTATGGCTTGTAATGCCATATACACGACTGTCACCATACCAGAATTTCCAGGGAAGTTAAATACCCCTCTGAATCAACTTCATGATAACAGGCTCAACAGAGAAGCAACAAATGCAGCAAAACTCTCCTCAAAACCAAGGTGTGTTCCATTATCAAATGCTGCACTCCTATAAAAGTCCAATGTGAGATATTCTCTTACCAATTACCTACTACAGCTGATGTTGATCTGACAATGAACTCTTACAAGTGCAACAGACTTAAAGCTTTAAGACCTCCCTTGATCACTTACATTTAAGTCAAGTTCTCTGCAATGCCAGAGTCTTTAACTTCTACAATGGAAAATTCCTAATTTATTTTTCCATTTCACTTGACAAATACAAGCTGCTTGTCAGCCATCGAATGAACTGATTGGATCAGGCTGTCCTAGTTTTAGTAGACCAAACAAAAGGGTCCCATACTGTTCTCAATTGAGAACAGCTTTGACTGATGCCAGGGACAGCAGAGAATAATATGTCAGAGTGTGTTTTACAATGGCATTTTGTAACATCTGTAGTCTCCGTTGGATTTCTACTTGGTTTGGCAGGATATCCCACTCTTCTTTGGAATTTGATCTGTTCATTCAAGCTTTAGTGCCTAGCAGTACAAAGAGCATAAAGGGCTGGGTACTCGAGGTCATGAGTTTAAAGCAATACATTTCCTGTCTAGGGAAGCATCCTGATCTAGGGAAGAGATAGGGTCTCTTGTTTGGGCTTAGGGGGAAACTAGATAAGTCTGAAGTGTGCCCTGAAAATATCCAGTGGACTTCCTTCCTGCTTCCTGCAAGAGCTCTGGGCTCCAGACTGGCTGCAGCTGCTAATTGACATTCTTCTCTCATTTCAGTTCTTGGAAAAATGCCTATTCAATCAGTTGTTCTTCACTAGGCTGACCTTTTATTTCCTATGGGATATGGTATCCATGGTCCTTGACCCCGAGTATGAGTCGCTGATTTCTATAGGTAAAGTTATTTTATTTTAAAATATTACTCGGTCTCCCTCCCCCCCTTTACTCTTGAGCTTATGGGAAAATGTATAGAAGTTCAGATTCTAATCACTGTTTGTAGACTACGGTCAGAAACTTTAGTCTAATTGCTAGCATGAGGACCAAAGTATTTTATTGAACATTTGTGCAGGCAAGGTGTTACTATAATTGTCATTTTAAATTTACCTGGATATATTGGCTTAGAGATCTGAGCCTCCTATGCAGGCAAGATGCCTCAATTCTTGTTAGAGTAGCAGAAAAGCTTAAAAGATGTTCCTCCCAATTCATATAGATCACCCCAAAAGAATATGGAAGACTGTTCTAGCCCAGCCTTGGCCTTTGGCCTTCGTGTTTTTGTTTACACCTCTGGTCTACACCAGGTCAAGCCAAATCGAAAATTAGTTTATCTGCCAGACATTGGTAGCTCACCAGTAATCCCAGCTACTCAGGAGCCTGAGATGTGAGATTTCAGTTTGATCCAGACTGGGTAGGAAAGTTCATGAGACTATTATCTCCAATTAATGAGCCAAAAGCCAAAGGTGGAGCTGTGGTTCAAGTGTTAGTGTGCCAGCTTTGAGCAAAAAAAAAAAAAAAAGCTCAGGGGCAGTGTTCAGGCCCTGCTCCATACCAGTACACACACACACACACACACACACACACACACACACACACACAATTATCTCCTCAAACAACTAGGGCTTTGAGAATATAGATTAATCATTTCTTATCAAAATGCTTAGGAACTTAATCATTCCTTACCAAAATACTTAGGACCTCAGTATTAGGTTTCAGAGCTATTTTGGATCTTGTAATACTTTGCATAGATATCACCAGTTGAGCAACCCTAACTCTTACATCCAAAATTAATTTCACGTTGGCCACATCTGATTCTTAAACCAGCCCCTCAGCAGAATTTCTCGATGGCTCTTAACCCTCTGTAGTTCTTGTCTCTATAATCCCTTCTCTTTCACCTTTGGGCTGTACACAGAGACTTAACTGTTATTCCCTGTTGCTCATGCTGCTTATCAGGCTATTTCCCAAACAAAAAAGAAAAATTCAGGCAATTTCTAGTACCTCCAGATAAAATTAGTTGCTCCAACTCCAAATACTTGAAGGTTGGCAGCTCTCCCAAGGTAGACAAATTGCTTGTCCTTGCTCTCTAATTGCAGGGTTGTTGTGTCCCCAGGATGGGTTGATGGCCTTTGAAGTCTACAGCCATCAAACAAAACCAGCTCTCAACTTGAATATCCTAACGATGGGAAATTCATGCTGCCAGCCCATGTTGAAAGTTGAGTCTTGGAAGCTGGTACAATTTTACATACCCCTGAATGGATGTGGAACCAGACTTAAGTTAGGTACTACCAGTTGGTAAGAAGCTCAAGATTGCCCTATGAATTAACTAGGTGTAACCTACTTTGCTTCAACATTTTCTTTTTTCAGTTTAAAAATGATAGTCATCTACAAAAATGAAATACATGCTCTCCAAGCAAAATGTGAAGAGACAGCAAATTGCTACTGAAAAAAAAAACCCAACCTAGGTTAGATTTAAAGAATTTGTTGACACAAAATCCTTTTTTGTTGGTCATGGGCCTCGAACTCTTCAGCTCTTCTGCTCAAGGCTAGCACTCTGCCACATGAGCCACAGCGCCACTTCTGGTTTTCTGGTGGTTAATTGGAAATGAGTCTCACAGACTTCCCTGCCTGGGCTGGCTTTGAACCATGATCCTCAGATCTCAGCCTCCTGAGTAGCTAAGAATACAGGTGTGAGCCACCCGCACCTGGCAAAAATTTTTTTAGCCAGTGCTGGGGCTTGAACTCAGGGGCTGGGCAATGGTCCCTAAGCTTCTTTTGCTCACTTGATCCACAGAACCACTTCTACCTTTTTCTGTTTATGTAATACTGAGGAATTGAACCCAGGGCTTCATGCATGCTATAGGCAAACACTCTACCACTAAGCCACATTCCCAGCCCAACACAAAATTTTTTATCACTCTCCTCTTGTTACAGACAGTGAAGTGCCATTACAAAAGAGACAACATAATGCTGAATGCCCATGTCCTCAACCTGCCTGCTCCACTGGCCTTTGTGAAGCCAGGTCCACGTGTGTTGATTCTTCAAATTTACCCAGGTAGGAGGTTGCAATTTAAAAGATATTTGATGGAGCCCTGGTGGCTGACACTTGTAATCCTAGCCACTCAGGAGGCTGAGATCTGAGGAAGCCAGCTGGGGCAGAAAAGTCCATGAGATGCTTATCTCCTAATCAACCATCAGAAAAATGGAAGTGGAGCTGTGGTTCAAAGTGATAGAGCACTAGCCTTGAGCGGAAAAAGCTCAGGGACTGCATCCAGGCCCTGAGTTCAAGGCCCACAACCTACCAAAAGGTATTTGGTTCAATCCTTTGGGGGTTCCCCCCCAAAATGAATGTTGCAACTAGTACCTACTCACATCCAGAAAAGTTCTCTGATCTATTTCAGATGAGTTCTACTGACAAGCTTACAGGAGGAAGGAGTTCTCCATGGTGAGGTACCCCCGCCAACTGATCTACTTGGAAGTCAAAATTCTCAGTAGGGCGGACCCCAACATAAAGCTGGTCTTGGATGACTGCTAGGCAACATCTAAAGAGGATCCAGCCTCTCTCCTCAAGTGCTGCATTGTGGTGGATGGGTAGGTACTCTCACGCTAGAGGGTTGCTCAGTGAATCCATCAAAACTTGGCTGGTGATGAGAGAATAAACCCTCTTGGGACTTAGAGAAGGTTTAAGCCATACAAGCTCGTCATCTGCTCTTGTTAGTCACTGGCCCCGTGATCTAATCAAATGGTCCACACTGTTTTCATGTTGTGGTAGAATCTTAACAGGAATAGGCTTGAGTCTGGCTCTTCTACTCTATCTCTATCAGGAGACAAAGGGACTTCTGGCCTTATCTATTTACTGAACACCTGCCATCTAGCAGGCATAGAGTTATATATTCCACATCCAACTGAGCCTTACCCCCCTAGGAAGAAGGCTCTAGCCATCTTCATGAAGAAACCCAAACTGAACTACTTAACTGCCTAGCTAAAAGCAAGGCCTTGTGGTAGAGCTGAGCTTAAAATTTCCACTTGATTCTAAAAATTACAATGCCATGGGGTTGTAACTATACCAGCACTTGGACATAGTGTTCGTCCTCTTGGCTCTGTGGTGCTCTCTCCAGGGGTTTGTACAGGCACAGAACTGTACCTTGCCTTTCTTTTTTTTTCTTCATTTTTTGCCAGTCTTGGGGTTTGAACTCAGAGCCGGGGCACTGTCCCTGAGCTTCTTTTGCTCAAGGCTACTGCTCTACCACTTGAGCAACTGCGCTACGTCTGGTTTTTTTCTGTTTGTGTGGTACAGAGAAATCACAGCTGGGGCTTCATGCATGCTAGACAAGCACTCTACCACTGAGCCACTTTCCCAGCTGTACCACGGCTTTCTTGACCATGTAGAAAAGGGTTGCTAAGCTCCTAGCCTCCAGGTACTTTCCTGTCTCCAGATCATTCACACAGCTCATTCCTTCACCTTCTGAAAGACTTGCTCAAACATACCTTGACTCATGATCCCTTACCCTGGTCTAACTCTTCATGCTTTGGTACTTACTGCCTAACATACTATATTTTGTAGCATCACCCCTGCTAGCATGTAAAACAGTCGTAAGGATGTATTCCTCTTCTTCTATCACTTATAGTGATACTAATATATATTATGTGCATGGTGGCACTATATGCCATGGCTAAATCACCATATATATTATATGACATATTATATATATGAGTATCCCAGGCAGTACAATATAATATAGGCATTCATACTAGCAGAAATAAGCCAGTCTTCTGAAGTGATACACATACAACTTCATATCTTTTGAATTCAATTGGCAAACAAATGTGTTACTACTACATGTACAACTTGATTTCATGGGTATTGGACAGATGGGAATAGAAAGATATATAATAAAAGCAAAGGTAGCTGTAGAAGGCAAATATGTTCCTCATTGTGAAGCTGTCACATGTCACATTTGGGAAAATATATATGACTATTCTTCTCCCTATGTCTGATTGACAGCTGTGAATATAACCTGGACAACTACCAAACCCCCTTCCATCCCATTGCATCCTTGGTGGCCCATCGTGATCACTACCAGAGGTTTGATGTGAAGACCTTTGCCTTTGTGTCAAAGGCTTGGGGACTTGCTACCCTGGCAAGTGATCCATAGTCACCAGGGCTGGGTGCTTACACCTGTAATCTTAGCTACTCAAGAAGCTGAGATAGGAGGATCATGGTCTGAAGTATAACCCAGGAAGAAATGTCCAGCAGTCTCTATCTCCATCCAATTAATCAGCAAAAGAAGCCAGACTAGAGGAGTAGCTCAAGTGATAGAACATCAGCCCTGAGTGAAAAAACAAAGAAAGAGGCCTAAGTTGAAGGTGAGTGCTTTGCTTCCACTTAACTCCTCTTCCATTTCCAGGTCTACGTCCACTGCAACGCATTAATCTGTAATCGCCTCTCTCCTGACTCGCCTCTGTGTTCTGTGACTTACCCTGCCTCACCACGGGCCAAATGAGGTAAAAAGTCCCAACCCCTCCCACTGTGAGCCTTACTGAAAGCCAGTCTCAAATCTTCCAGCCCCAAAGAATTTTAAGGATGGATACAACTTGTCCATCATTTAGTCCTAAGAGACTCTTAGGACTAAGAGAGACTCTTAGGACTAAGATTCTTTTTCTCAAAGTATTGTTATTATAAAGTGCTAGAAGGGTTGCAGTTATGTAAGTTGGGTAATGAGTACATGTCTTTTTGGACGATGTCCTCCCTTTCCCTTACTCCCAATTTTCCCCTCTCATCCCCACCCACAAATTATATAGTTTATTTTCAATATAGTGTCTAGTGAGTACCACTGCTGCATTTGTTCACCCTTTGTCCCACCATATCTGTGTTCCCTTTACCCTCCCAAAGACAGATAAATGAACAAGACAAAAGGAAAGAAAACAAAAGGCCCTCGTTGCCATTTCCTGAAGTTCATTTCAATAAATACTAGTTTATGTGATCAGAAGTGCATGGGCATTGCTCCTTTTGTGTTCCTTCCCAGAGAGTATCCGCCTTTGGTCTCACTGTGTGCGAATGTCCCAGTATATTTTAGATCTAGCTTCTGCATGTAAGAGAACACATGCACTGTTTCTCTGAACTTGCTTACCTCACTTCACATGATTTGTTCTAGAGGACTGAGATTCTTAGCCCAGTCTTTATCTAGTACCAAAGTCCTAAGTCTGAGAGGGGCAGACTCTTCTATGGACTCGATTCTTGGAGAATGTGTCCCACTTTTACAAAGGCTATACCACCCAGTCCTGCACAAATAGATCTATAGACATGAAGGAGCAAGACATTCCATAGACCATCTGTTCTGAAGATTCCATCACCATTATTAAACTATTCTAGACATCAAACACCACCTTGCTCATCTGTCTCCAGCCACAGGAACCACTGAAGAGGACAAAATAACAGTCAGTCTCCCAGGACCCATTCTCCTGTTATTGGGTGGCTCTTCACTCCGAGGTATGGCTACAGACCACAGGGTACTTGTTGAACTAGAATTCTTAACCTGGGCTACAATAGGCTTTTTTTGTGCCAGAAGTTTAATGCTTATATGTAATACATGTTCATTATAAACCCAAACAAAAGAATAAACAATGCCTTTCTTCAAGTCTCTTTTATAGCCTCCTAGAAAGCTGACCTAAGTGAGATCATATATGAATTTATTGTTCTACAACTTGGTTGTTTGTTTTAGCACACCTTACATATGCTTAGCCCACCTCACTTAAAACTGCATAGAAGCCTGGTGCTGGTGGCTCACACCTATAATCCTAGCTACTCAGGAGGCTGAGATCTGAGGATCATGGTTCAAAGCCAGCCCAGGCAAGAAACTCCATGAGACTCTTATCTCTAATAAACCACTGGAGAACCAGAAGTGGCACTATGGCTCAAGTGCTAGAGCACTCGCCTGGAGCTCAATTGTGCAGGGACAGCGCCCAAGCCCAGAGTTCAAGCCCCACAACTGACAAAAAAAAAAAAAAAAGAACTGTATAAAGTCACATTGCTCTACCTTAGTCATAGTCCTCATTCATATCTCATTTACAACATCTTGGTTACTTCTGCTTTCATGCTTGATGTTAATATTGCATTTTTTGGTGCTGATTATTTTATTTGTTTAAAATTTTTCTGGTGCTGGTCTTGGGGCTTAAACTTAGGACCTGGGTGCTATCCCTGAGCTTTCTTTGCTCAAGGCTTGAGCCACAGCTCTACTTCTGGCTTTCTGATGGTTAATTGGAGATTAAAGTCTTATGGATTTTCCTGGCCTGGTTTTGAACCAAGATCCTCAGATCTCAGCCTTTTGAGTAGCTAAGATTACAGTTATGAGCTACCAGCACCTGGCTTATAGCTAGATCTTAAAGAGGATCTTTATTGCTTACTATACAAACAATTAAAGGCAATCCTTGGACTGGTCAAAAAGCATGGGCAACTTTTCTGCTACACTTGTCTATATTACGTCAGCCTTCCATGATCACCTCATACCTCACCCCACACAACCTTCACTCTGGGCTTAGAATGTGGAATTAAACTACCTTAAATCCCAGCAACCTCACTCAGGCGATAGGTGTGTTAGCATTAGGATGCTGGAGTAAACTAAGACAAGGCCCTTGAGAGGTGTTAGCCCATCTGGCTTGAACGGGGAAGAGGGGTGGGAGGGGAGGGGGGAACCAAGTAGAAAGGTAGGTAAAAACAGTGAGGAGCCAGTGGTGTTGAGGTTGTTTATAGAGTTGAAGGCCACTTGCTGTTGCAAATTTTCCAAAGTAATTCACCCAGGCCTAATGTCACATCCCTGGAGAAGACTGTAGTCTTCAGAGTCCTTTCAACAGAACCATAAAGACTTGAATTGTCTGTTTCCTTTGCAGATGTTGAAGATTCCAGAACTCACAAGATTGCTGGAGATGTTGCTTCTAAAATAGAGGCTGCCTGATTGCCTGTGTGGGTTTGGCTGGTACTGTAAGTGTTATCTTGTATCTGAGTGTGAAAGAGCCATGAGGAGGACTTACTAATGGAACTTGCAAATAGAGTTCTTAAAGTAAACTTTCGCTTTCTACTTTCTCTTGCCTTGTAAAGATTAGGTGGTGCTACAGATTGTTGCAGTCATTCTTTAGAGTGTCTGAAAGCTTATCCAGAATCTTCTGGGCAGTTTCAGCCTCTGTGTTTGAGAATAGGAAAGCTTGTAGCTTGTGTTGTTGTCATTTGGCCATTACTGATCCCTCAGTCCTATTCTTGAATCCTTTGCCACTCATTCAATGGAGTGAGTTTTAGCTATACCCCAACTATGGGGGTACACTTTAAGTCTAATATTGTTTTATCACTAAAACAAGTCTAATATCTCCACTAAAATAAGATCAGGGGTCAGAAAGCCATCTGCCATATCAGCTTTGTCACTAGAACAAAATATCTGACACAGGCTACTTACAAAGTAGGAATTGCTTCTTTTTCCCCTCAGTTATGGAGGCTTAGGTCCAACGCTGTTTAGCCCTCCTGGATTGGATCTATAGTGACTGAGGTGTGTGACCCGGAAGTGAATGTCAGACAGGTGATCACATCCGAAGCTAAGGAACAGATCAGGCCCTGGGGTCTCATCATTTCCATTAGGACCACCAGCCCCAAGGACCAAAGAACAGTCTAGGAAGCCCCATTTCTTAAAGGTCCACAGGATCTTTCCATAGCAGCACTCCAAGGACCAGGTCTTTAATACATAACTCTGGGGGACATTTATCCAAAACATATGGAGATTTAGAACTGTGTAGGCAGCATAGGGAAAGACAAGAGGATCAGGGCTGGTGCAGAGGGAGGAGGCTGAAGCCCATGGATCAGAGCCAGCCTGTCTGTGCTCTGAAGTCAGGGATCCAATGAAGTTACTGTCAGGAGTCCATAAACATCACACCATCCAATCTGGGAAGGTCAGGACTTTCTTCTTCCATTATGTTCTTTAAATATCTCCGACTGTGATAAAAATTCATAGGGGGTAAAATTCCAGTGTGTGTGTATGTGTGATATTCTCAACTTCTTACCCTATCTTATATCCTTTCCTTCAATTTTTCCTTGAATTGAGATAATGAACTCCAATCCTTAGACAATAGCATCCTTTCTACATTAGCAAGTTCTCTCTTTAAGGCAGTTTAGAAAAAGATCTAGTATTTTACTTAAAAGTGTTTTACTTAAAAGTATTTAACTCAGATGAGTCTCAAGAGGTAGATAACTTCCCTGAACATTTCAAAGAAAGGATTCAGTCACATTTCCCTTAAGATTTCCAATGTAATTAAATACTACCATTCTCTTCCGGGAGAGGGAAGGGAATAAAGTTTCATTTTCCTATGTGAAATTCTAACCTTCCTGGTATGAAGACTACAATTGGACCCGGAGCACTATTTTCCTACTAGCCTTGTTTGATCTTGGCCACCTCCTTAGGGTGACTATTTGCTCCTAGGTTGCAGTTACATCCTTAGTATGGCTATGTGCGTAACATAAGTACATAGTCTTCGTAACATCAAATATAGAAATAAATTCACTTGTATCCTTTAACTAGGAAAAAAATGGGCTCTGAACTGGTTTCTTCAAGTAGCTGGACATAAACATTTTAAATGTTAATCGATGGGGGTAAGTTAAAAAAAATCTAGTGTTAAGACTTTTAACTCTCCACTCTGAAAGTCAGACTCTTAGAGTTTTCAAAATCCAACCTTGAGGTCAAGGAGAAGTTTCAGAGCCATCAATCCTCCATGGTTTCTTGGTCTCTTGGGTGTGGGCAGAACTTCTTGTGGGAGGTCCTGATGTCTAATGGAGGAGATGCTTCACCTTCTGGCAACAGGAAATGAGAAAGTATGGGAAAAAATTAGGGGCCAGATATCACCTTCCAAGGTGTGCACATAGTGACTTCCAATTAAGTCCTACTTTCTAATGTTTCTAATGTTTCCACCATCTTCTCACATACACTGGGCATCAAGCATTCAATACATGAACCAATGAGGAATATTTCATGGTCAAGACATAATACTCTATCTTTGTGTGTGTCCTGGTACCGGGACTTGAACTTGGGACCTCTTGCCCTTATTTGGCTTTCTACTACTTCTATATATTGACTAGTTAATTGGAGATAAGAGTCTCATGGACTTTTCTGTCTGAGCTGACTTCGAACTGCAACCCTCAGCTCTTAGCATCCTAGGCAGCTAGGATTACAGCCCTGAGCCATCAGTGCCTGGTTTCCTCTTCTGTTAGTTAGATTTATATATGGGTAAAACTTAATTTTGGTATCATGAAACCACTGCACTTGTGTGGAAGGAAGGTTTGGTTTTTTTTTTTTTTTATGTCAGTTGTGGGACTTGAATTCAGGGCCTGGGCACTATCCCTGAGTTTTTTTTTTCCCCCAAGACTAATGATCTACCGCTTTGAGCCACAGCTTCACTTTGTTTTCTGGTGGCTAATTGGTAATGAGGCCCGTGGATTTTCCTGCCCAGGTTGGCTTTGAACCATGATCCTCAGATCTCAGTCTCCTGAGTACTAGGATTACAGGTGTGAGCCACCAGCACCTGTGGGTCTGGCATTTCTAGAGTAATAGAGGTTAAAAGCTTAAGTTCTCTCAGAGCCATTCTTTATAAGGCTCCAAAGGCATTCTTCTAGTGATATAAAGCAAGGAATGGTCTTGAATTCCAACTTTTAGTGTGCAACCTCACATTACTATGTTGTTGCACATTAGCACCGGAAATGAAACCTTCATGTTTTGATGTAGGTGGCATGGCCTGCATGAAGCCCGGGTTCAATTCCCAGCCCCACAAAAACAAATTGGCCACTTACACAGCATCCTGTTCCTGCAGGCTGAAGGACAATCCTTCCCTCTCCCCATGTCCCACATGCACATCTTAATCCTTAGAGTTTATCAATATCATCTTTCCATACCAATAGGACTTCATGGATGTGACTGAGGGTCTTGAGGTGGTGATATTATCCAGGCACAATCACAAGGCTCCTCATGAATTGGGGACACTGAACATCAGTGGCTCATACCTGTAATCGCAGCTACTCAGGAGGCTGAGATCTAAGGATCATGGTTGGAAGCCAGCCTAGACAGGGAAGGCCATGAGACTGTCATCTCCAACTAACTGCCAAAAAGCTGGAAGTAGAGCTGTGGCTCAAGTGGTAGAGCTTAAGCTTTGAGCAAAAATACTGTACTAAGGCACAGTGTCTAGGCACTGAATTCGAGCACCAACACAGACACACAGACACACAGACACACACACATACACACACAAGAGGGTTGGCTTTTTGGATAAGATTTATTCACAGAAGAACAGACAACAGAAAAGAATCTGGGCACCAGTGGCTGACACCTATAATCCTAGCTACTCAGGAGGCTGAGATCTGAGATTTGAGGTTCAAAACCATTCTTGTCAGGAAAGGCCAAGAGATTCTTATCTCCAATAAACTGCTCAGAAAAAAAGCCGGAAGTGGTGCCATGTCCCAAATGGTAGAGTGCTAGCCCTGAGCAAAAGAAGTTCAGGGACAACATGCAGGGCCTGAGTTCAAGCCCTAGGACTGGTATACACATGCAGAACAGACAAAACAGTTTTCCCATCAACTCACCAGAAGACCCAAGTTGGATTTCTGACATCCAGACTTGTAAAATAATCTGGGGTTTGTGCCACTAAATTTGTGTTCATTGGTTGCAGCCTAAATAGGAAACCAACACAACCCTCTAAAGAATCATAGCCCACAAACTGGAACCTTACATTGTCTAAAGTATACATGCTTCTGATGGATAACTTGGGCCCTTACAGTAGCTCATCCCTTTATTATCGGCAAGAACTTCTCATGTTCATGATGGTCCATTTGTGTGGGGATCAAGGCTATCCTATCTCTAGGGCTACCTGCAGTGTGGGTTGGTGATTATATGCTTTTCTCAATGGAAAAGCAAAACGTTGAGAGCAGGGAAACTGAAGCTTCCTCGAGTAACTGCAGAGATGAACACTTGTTGCCATGGTAGCCTGGAACAAGTATAATGAACAGTGGATTCTCAACTTTTCAAAGTACACATCCTACAGTCTCTGGAGGAGGCAGCCTAATCAGAGAGAACTCTATGTGGGTGGAGTTGAACCTGAGCCCCAGGAGACTGCGTCTTCATCCATATTAGGCTGCAAACTCCATCATGTGGTAGCAATGTGTGGTAATTTTTGGTTTTCTTTTTTTGGTTTGTGTGCCAGTACTGGGGCTTGAGCTCTGGGTCTAGACAATGTCCCTGTATTTTTTTGGCTCAAGGCTGGTGCTCAACCACTTGAGCCACACCTTCACTTCCATCTTTTTGTTAGTTAGAGACAAAAGTCTCATGGACTTTCCTACTCAGGCTGGTTTGGAACCTCAATCCTCAGATCTCAGCCTCCTGAGTAGCTAGGATTACAGGCATGAGCCACCAGAGCCTGGAGATAGATGGTGATGTTAACTCACATGTCAGGAGTGGAATGAAAGGGCTTTGGGATTCTAATACCCTTTAGGTGGTTCTTCCTTTTTGTGTGATGCTGGGCTTTGACTCAGGGCTTTGCTCTTGCTAGGCAGGAGCTCTAATGCTCAGCCATCTCTGGATCCTTCTTTTGTGCTGTTTTGTTTAGCTTATTATTATTATTTTTTGAGACAGGGTCTTGCTTCCTGACTGAGTGCGACTCTAAACTGCAGTTCTATTTTCAGTTTCCTGTTGTATTTGGGCTAAGAATGTGTTGCACCCTTAGCTTCACCGTGTTGAGAGAAAACCTCCCTAACTTTTCTGTTCAGTCTGGCCTAGAACTAGAGGCCTTCCATTCTCAGCCTCCCAGGTAGCTAGGATGTTAGGTGCACACCACTGTGTTCAGCTATCAGTGGAAAAGAGGGGTATTGCGACCTTTAATGCCCTGGCTGGCTTTGAACTACAGTCCTCTGGATCTCAGGCTCCAAAGAAGCTGG